GAAGGGAGCTTATATCAGATTAACCCTCCTGCTGGTAATATTGACACATGCTGGACAAAATGGGAAAAGAACACTGGAGATTAACTAAAAGCAGGCAGAAATTAATGAGATAGGGATCTTACAAGAAGAGAAGCAAAGTAAATGGGCGGGAGGGTGTAGCACAGTGGTAGAGTGCCTACTTAGCATGCACGAGGTTCTGGGTTCAATTCCCCAGTACCTCCATTTAAATAAATAAATAAATAAATAAATAAATAAATAAATAAATAAATAAGACCTAATTACCTCCCCTACACCGCCAAAGTCAGACAAAATGAGAGAGAGAGAGAGAGATCAGTTAATGTGATCATAGCTCAATGACTTGGGATTTGAATTCAAGCTTTATGACTGCAAAGTGAGAGATACATTCAACTAGCTTTTCCTCTAATGGTGCTCCCCTTAAGGGCAATGAAGAATAGAGGCCAAGTAGAAAGTGTCCAGTAAGAGCTGAGAAGTCAGAAATCAGAGTTTAGGGCTGCCAGCGTGGATGCCAATTGAGAGGAGCAATTCCAGGAAGGAGGAAACCACAGCTGGAGAGCATCACAATGTGCACACAAACGTCCTTCAATCCTTGTCTGACTTACAACCTGCAAGTGCATGGGTGAGATTTCAAGAAACCTAGTGGAGAGCAACAACTAAAAGGCTAAAAAGCAGAGATTCCAACAGCTGCCTGGTATCGGGGGTTGGGAGTTCAAATTCTGAAATTTAGAAAAGGTTGGTAAACTCAGAATTTCCACTGAAATCTCAGAAGGATCACAACTTCGGAGTAAAGACCACTTACTAGGACTAAGGACTATACGCCGACAGTATTTCTCAGCCTATATTTTAAAATTATCTCCCCTCCCCACCCATCACCCCTGTTGAGAAAAATTTAATTTAAATTCCTCTGAATGAAGAAAATTAAATACTAAAGAATAATAGTTCATCAGGTAGGACTGAGCTTTGGAGGATCACAAACCATTGGAACATCTATATTTTTCGCCCTTACCAAGACTCCATTTTCAACCCCCGGCAGGGGTGGGAGGAGGCAATATTGTTCCTGTTGAGAATGTCGGTCCTAGGGATAAGAGCGAGCCTGAAAACACTCACTCTCACAAAGGCTGACACCAAGCCTTCACTGGATCAAACTGATCCACCAGAAATCTAACTGCCTTCTTGATCAAAATCCAGCCCCACTTTAGAGGAAGGTAACAGAATTCAGAGTCTCTACAATGTATCACCCACAATGTCCAGTATACAGTAACCTTTAAAAATTGCTAGACACATGAAGAAGCAGGAAAAAGTGATCCATGATCCAGAGGAAAAAAAATGATTAATAGAAGCAGACTCACAGAAAGTCAGATTTTTTTAATTAGCAGACAAGGACTTTAAAAGAACTATTATACATATGTTAACAAACTTACAGGGAAAGCTGGATAATGGGTGAAGTGATGTGAAATTTCTGGAGAGATATGAATACCCTTAAGGAAAAAGTGGTAAATTCTAGAACTGAAAAATACAAGATCTAAAGTAAAAACTCATTGGATGGAATAATCAGCGTGGTGATGGGGGGGCACTGCAGGATAAAGAGAATACAGCATGGTGACTATAATTAATGATACTGTATTATACAGAGAAT